TATATGAAAATGTTAGAGTCAGCTGGTTTAAGTTTCATGCAACAAATGTTCTTGTATTTGCTCGGGAGTCGCGGGCTATTGATCTAAACAAACATGATTTCCCAACAAACATTGATTGGATTGTCTTATCAGTCAATGATAAACAATATTCCAGCGTAAGGTACACTGAGAACTTCCTGTGAAAAGAAACTCCCATTGATTCAGAGAAAATACCTAAAACCGAAATGCTATTCCAGTTCAAGCACACTCACCTCTTTTGTTTCCATAGTGTCCAAACCAAGTAACTTCGTACCCATCTAGCTATGCTGATGGACAGATGCAGTGCATCCCATCTAGAGATTCTTGGATTTACAGAAAATTACGCTGTGGCTCTTTGGCTGTTTTTGAGTACAGCAGCAAGGAAATAATCTGGACACAAAGTAAATTAAATAATAATGCTCTACTTTGTTTATAGGATAAAGGACCCGTGATCATTGTTGTGTAAATTTGTACAGGAGAGGGGAGGCATTCACACAATCCTGGAAAGACACATTCAGTGGTGGGAATCTTTCAGTGCTCCAGATATTGTTGAACCAGAAACTCCATTACGGGTGATCCTAGAGTTACAAAAGTTCATTTAGTGGCGCTCAAAGTTCCAACGGCACTGAAAAATGTGACTTATGACCGTTTTTCACACTGTTGCAGCATCCCTGTGGATGATCAAAATTCAGATGCTTGGCAACTGGTTCCTATTTATGACAATTGCAGTGTCCCAGGAATCATGTGATCTGCTTTTGTGACCTACTGACCAGCAAATTGCAGTGGGGGAGACAGATTCACGTAACAACCAGGTTACTAACTTAACAACTGCAGTAATTCACTTCAACAACTGTGGCAAGTAAAGTTGCAAAATGGGGCGAAACTTACTTAACCAATGTCTCACTTAGCAACATGAACGTTGGGCTCCGTTGTGGTGCCACAGTTGCCTGTGCTGCTGACTCTTCACCATGCTAGCTAAGGATTCAGAATCCAACAGGTGAAGGACCATAGGCTATTCATTCATTAGTTCTACCCTTGGTAGCAAAGGATGAGATCCATGGGTGTAGATTGGATCCAGTAATTTTTCATCATTGAAAAGCTGCCTGGGGATGCTACAACTGGAAGGTATGCAGCACAAAATGGGTGGGAACATATCATGCTCCTATAGTCTCTTGTTTCTCTATTCCAATCTTTTCCCCCAGAATGGCTGTCCCTACAGATCCGTCACAGGTCAAGAGAGCATTTGAAAAGCTTGCAGAGGTACAGATGGGGATTTCCCTCCACCTTCCTTCAAAGGACATGTTTCACATGCGTATGTGTGGACATTTCCCCAGTGTATGCATGCCACAGGAAATTAGGAGAAATACTGTGAGTTTATTGCAGAGGTCATCCCGATGTCCCAATTGTCACCCTTCAATCATACGATAAAAGGTGCAAAATTCCTACAAAATTAGCATGGTGAATTAATTCCTGTTTCTTCCTGATTTCAGGCCACATTCATTTCAGCATTGCGGTAAGGATGTCCAGCCAGCATAACTACAGGGGTAGTAATCCAAGCATCTGCAGAGCACTCTAATGCTACCTCTTTGCTTACTCATGTCCCTGGCTTCTCCCATAACTCCCTGACATGAGAGCTCTAGGACCTGTTCACTTAACAACCCTATTTGGAAAATATCAGTAACTGTCAGGTTTATGGCCATTCACTCAGCAACAATTTGAAGCTACGATGGTGCTGAATGAAGAAACTTATAATCACAAAGCTATGGCCGTTGCAATGCCCCTGTTATCACATGATCAAAATTTGGGTGCTTTGATAGCCTGACCCCACTTGTAACTTACAAGGGCATTTCAACTCCCTCAACCTGCCTGTTGCCCCATCTATGCCCTTTTGCCCCCCTGCGCTCTGCGGTCCCTGATGCCCCAGCTGACCTTTGTCCTCTCCTTGATCCTGCTGAGACTGTAGCTGTAGCTGGGGCTGGACTGGGATGTCTGGGGCTTCCTAGGGCACAGTGGTTTTATGCAATGCTGCTAGGCTGGGCTGCGACTGGGCTGGGCTTCATGCAGTGCAAAGGGACTTCCTGGCGCATCATGGCTCTGGAGCTGGGCCTGGGCTGTGCGATACAGCACAAAGGAGATCCCGGTGTGCTGCGACTCTAGGTCTGCAAAAAGCCTCAGAGCTGTGATGGGATTCAAATTGTTTTACTGCCAGTTCTGTGGGCGTGGCTAGGGGGCATGGCCATGTGACTAGGTGAGCGTGGGTTTTTGTGTTTTTTGCTTTTTGCAGCAACACCCCCCCACCCCCCCGTTTTTGGGCCTTCTGGGCCTCAGGCAAACCTCCTGGGGGAGGGGGCATTTTTGTTCCCAGAAGGCTTCCTAGGGCTCAGGAAGGCAGAATACTGACCTTGAGGGCATGCACAGCACACACACCATTTTGTTTTGGGGCCTTCTGGGCCTCAAGGAAGCCTCCTGAGGGGCGATTTGCTCCCAGAAGGCTTCCCTGGGGCCTAGGAAGGCAAAAAATAGAGAGGGGGGCAGAGGGTTTTTTTTTTCTTCCTGGGCCTCAGGGAAGCCTCCCAGTAAGTAAGTGAGGAGAATCCCAGCACAGCTGATCATAGGAACAGCTGATTGTCCGGAGGAAGAAAAAAGAAATACCTTAAGGAGTGACTGGGCGGGCTAGCATCAGGCGGGTGGGGTAAGTGAGCATTGAGTGGGTGGGGCAAGCAAGTGAGTGGTGACCAGGCGACTGGGTCAGGAGCGTGGCCAGCCAGAAGTTACTACTGACAACTCACACCAAATTCTTGCTGCCGGTTCGCCAAACCAGGGTGAACCAGCTGAATATCCCCACTGCCCTGAGCCACAGTGTAGTCTTTCCTTGGCTTTTTTTAGTTCACTGCAGTACACACACACCCCATTCCCCAATCATGTACACCAGCCCTCTCTAATCACTCCCGCCCCCACATGGGACCCCATTCACCTTACCTATGACCCCACCACTTCCTGATTAACAAGCCAGGCGTGTTAAAGTTACAAGAGCAACTGCAGGAATTGCCATCACTATGTGATATGGTCACATGACATTGCACTCTCCAACTGTATTATTTAGGGATGGGAATTCCATTCTCAATTCTAGTCCTAACCTGAGGACTACCTGTTATCTGACTTCGATTCCAGTGGGAATTCCTTGATGGACACAGGATTTAAACTGTAGTACTTTAATATCAGTCATTTGGAGAGACAACTTTAATAACTACCCACACTGAAAAGAGACTGAGACGGATTGAAAGGTGTGAAGCAAAACAGCCAATAGCAAGTGTGGCCATCACAGCATACCATGTTGGTCTACAACAGGGGTGTCAAACTCAAGGCCCGTGGGCCGCATCTGGCTCATTGGGGTGCTTAGATCTGGCCCACAGGGCCGCCCTGAAAACAGTGAAAACAGCCCATGGAGCGTCTGCCAGCACGGCCTTCCTGAGCCCCATTTTCACTGGCAGAGGGTTGCAGGAGGCTGTTGCAGCCATAAACGGAACTCGGGAGCCCATTTTCGCTGATAGAGCACTCGGGTCACCACAGGTGCCCCTGACACGAGTGACGTCAAGCTGGCCATGCCCACCCTGGCCACTTTCACCCCAGCCCTCTGAAGTCAAACACACCCAATGAGGACTTCAATGAAATCGAGTTTGATACCCCTGGCCTTCAATATCTAGTATTCCTACCTGCTGGGCTTGTGACAGTTTTAGTCCAAATACTTCAGCCAAATCTTGCCGTAAAATAATCTGCGTCCTCAGATCCTGTCTACCATTTGGGACAAGGCCAAGTTACACCACCTTTGGGCACCTGTCAAGCCTTTTGAGTCAAAGGGGTCATTGCCGATTCTGGTTGTCTCTTCACCTTGCTGTTGAGTTCTTTCCACTGTTTGTTTCTGTTTTCCTACCCTCTGAATGATAAAACACTGTTTATTCACTTTTAAGCTTGAACTGCTGAGCAGATTAAAGGCAAACAAAGGGACAGTGATGAAAACAGCAAAAAAAAATGTGAGTACATTTGGAGGAGTAAACAAATATGGGGCCTGTATTACAGAGAGAAGACAAAAGTCAAAAGAGGCCCAAGAAATTAAGCTGTTGAAAATTATATCTATCATATTTCCTTATACATTTTGCTATTATTAAGGTAGGATTCAACTCTTAGCTAAATCAGCTTGTGTATGGCATGAGGGAGGTAGCATTACCCTGTCCTTTGCTGTCCATGGGCCAGTCCTCTATCCTCAATAAACTACATACATCATTTATAGCTTTCTATACTTACTTTTATTGTTAAAGCAGTGTGGAGAGCAGAATTTTGAGCCTTAACAGAATCACAAAGTTGGAAGAGACCTTGGAGTCTTCTAGTTCAAGCAGCAGACCCCAGACCATTTCAGACAAAAAGCTGTACAATCTCTTCTCAAAAACCTCCTGTGTTGAAACACCCACAACTTTTGGAGGCAAGTCATTCAACTGAATTAATTATTCTGAGATATTTCATCTAGATGTTGTTGATTTGATGGGGTTTGTGCAATGCTTCTGATTCAGTTAGGAAGAGGTCTTCTGGGATGAGAGAAAGCATGAAGCCAGCACCTGCTCGCAACACATTAAAGCAGCTGCATTTTTTTTTATCACCATTGTGCGATGGAAGGAAAAGTCTTTCTGCAACAACTGCAGTCCTGGAAATAGACATGGCTGCTTTGAAGAGTCAGAAATTCCACAACACCACTTCTCAATCATGTCTGAAGCACTGCAAAACCCTAGTCAGGATAGCCTCCAGTTCATAGTATGTTCAGGACTGGGAACTGTGCTTCAGGAACATCTGGAGAGATCCAGCTTTCTCATTGTAAAGGCACACAACCACTGTTTCTGTACCCTCAATTTGATCCTTAATATTTATTTTCCTTTGTGCAGTAAGACTACTTCCAACGAAGAGACAAACGGAATTGACATTTAATTATGTTGTGTGGGGTGTTTTTTTGTTTTTTATTTTAGTTGCATGAGCACTGAGATAACCCACGGTCAAGACAACAAAGCACAGACTTACACATTCACTTTTCTGGGATTACACAAGACCTAGGTGCCTGGCCCAGTAAAAGCTTTTCATGTGCTGGGCGAAATGCCCAAGGGCAACTGTGATGCATTGCTAAGGCTTGAGTAAATATCAAAAGAGGGAAAGATTTGTGGTACACAGTGAACAGTGGAGATTACAAATGTGTACAAATGAAATTGTAAGCTGCTGTCACAGAGAGATGGGGAAAAGTTGCACTGCAGAGAAATTAATCCGTTTGAGAGAGGAACCATGTTACTGATGCCTTTAAAAGGGTTTAAAAGCAGCCAAAGAGGCAATAAATATATGTTCAGAGGATGGAGCAATTTACCACATTAAGTAAACTCTCTCGATTACTGCAACACTAATTGCATGGCTTAGTTGCAATATAGTCAATGGAGGCATATTGTGCAGTTTAAATTGTAAGCCCCTGGGGACAGATGTCTGTTTGAAGCATCTTAGTGTCTTTTGGCATGTGACAAATTAAAGTATTAAAATTAAAGCTCAAAACACGGTTTCCAACCTTACATGTAGGAATCAAGAACAGGGAAATCTGAAAAGTTCTCTATCAACTCTAAAGGATGGTCTCTTGTATTTGTCATTTCTAAATCTCTTTTGCTGTTTGTTTCTAAATATGAAAGGTTGCTGTTCAGTTTTTGTTGTAGTACTAAAAAAAGGCTTTTCTTCTTCTTTTTTTACATCTATTTATATTCACTCTAACTGGCAATGTGTGTATACCCCCGCACACATACAACAAAACTATAAATGACAAAGAACATACTGCACATTATGCCTGAATTATGCTTGGTTTCCTGCCTTGATAAATGTATTAGGAAGTTAGAACATTTAATTTGTAATTAGAGGGAACTTCTAGATCTTCCTACTATACACAGACCCCTATAATTACAAATTAGGTGCACTGATTTCCTAACATAGTGTATTGAGGCAGGAAACAAACTAAGATCCAAATGTCATATACACCGTTTTCTTTCAGGTCCGGCTTTTGCCTGCTGAGGAAAGGCACTTGGGCCTGTTATTGAATGCGCATATAATATTTTAATGTATTTTTACACAGAAAAAAAAAACATACAGGAAATTATTTGCAATTCAAGTAAACGGATCAGGGATTCAAATCACTTGTATCTGGGCCAAATAAACAAGGGAAATATAGCCAGAAAAAAGCAATAGCTCAGTCAATAAATAAAGATGACATGAGTTGGGAGGAGATGTGAAAACAATAATGATCAACTAATGAAGTAAGATAAAAATAGTGAAGAAGAAAGACGTGCTCTGATGAGAGTGGGATTGTTTTATCAGTTTTTAGCAGTAGTTGGCCTCTCTTTCTCTCCCCTCCCTCCCTCTCCCTCTCTCTCTCTCCCTCTCTTGGTTTATTTGGTGTTTATTTTTTGCTTCCTGCTGCTCTTTTTATCTTCTCACCAGCCCTCCCTCCTTGTCTTGTAAGGATTTGTTACAAATTATAGCACAAGGATGAGGAAAAAGGAAATGCCCTCTACAACTGCTGGCTTGGGCTTTTCTATCTTTCTGTCTTTACGGGAGGGACTGAGGCAGAATCAGGGTGAGATTCAGACTGGGTTTATTGCATGCCTTGCCCTAGGACTCTTTCAGGGCAATTCTGCACAGTAGCCAAAACAATTTGTCTCCTGTGCTGTTCCTGCTTGTTTCGCAAAGTGACTCCATAAATTCCTGTCTGGAGCGCAGTGGCAATGGGGCCAGCCAGTTGTTGCTCAGCTTTAATTTTGCCTGATCCTTTCCCTGTTTCCTGCCTTTCCAATCCATGCAGATGGCCTCCGCTCCGTGTGGGTAAGTCTTCCTTGTCCTTTCTTTTTAGGGACAGTTCCCTCCTCATTAATCCCAGTCCTTTTCCTTTGCTTTTCTAGATGCAGGGGTAGGATTCACATTTTTTAACAACCGGTTATGTGGGCATGGCTTAGTTGGTGGGTGTGGGTTGGTCATGTGACTGTGTGGGCATGGCCAACTCAACATCACTCACATCAAGGGGTGCTTCTGGACTCTCATGACAGTGGGGATGCCGCAATGGCCGTAAGTTTGAAAAACGGTCACAAGTCACTTTTTTTCAGTGCCATTGTAACTTTGAATGGTTACTAAATGAACTGTTGTAAGTCAATAATTACCTGTACAAAAATACAAAAAGCTTCTTTGCTTGCAAAAAGCTGCCCTAAATACCAATCATTAGATTAAAAATACCTGCAAGCCAGAGTTACAAATCAGGCAGGGTGCCAGAGCACCTTGAGAAATGAAAATAGTTAAAATGCAGCCAACTCTTGCTCATAAAGTGAAACCCTTTAGCAGAGAGGTCATTTAATTTCTCCAGAAAGAGCACACCCAGGAAAAGCAATCCTTAGATCCATTTGCACCACTTAAAGATACCAGCTGGTCTCACTCATCTCACAAGATATCCTAAAGAAATAATCAAGATTTAAGGAAAGGTCACATGCCCCCCAGAAAGGCATTAAAAAAAATAGTGCCAACCTTGCATCCTGACTCTTGGAAGTACACCCCAAAAGGACAGTGCCAGATACCACTAAAGCAGTGAAGGAAGACCCCCTCCCCAGATAGAAAAAGGAACCATGAGGTAGAAAAAACTTCAAACACAATACAAATTATTAAATCACAACAGTAGCAGTTCCTTGTTAAACCAGAACAAATAGACACGGGAACTAGCCAGATTTCTCAACCCAGTTTCTTTTCAGGAACAGAGATTAATCTTTTTCCTTCCAAACAAAGCTGAATAGGGAAAATTATCCCATCAATAAATGTCACCAAGCACAGAATTAAACTTCACCAAAAACCAGTTTTAGACCAAAACTCAGAAAGGGTATGTAAACTCATGTTTGAATGTCAATCTTTCTAGCTAGCCAAAATAAGTATTTCCAGGGAGTATTTCCTCCCAACAGCAGTGTAAAAAGCTTAAAACAACCCTTCCCCTTTAAGAAAGTATCAAGAAAAAAAAGAAAAACATCCTTCAGAGACAGTAAGCCTAGACATACTGCCAAGAATGTGATAAGGGCAGAAAAAAACAAAAGGAGATTTCTTCTAACTACCGGTTCTCCAAACTGCTTAGAAAGTTAACAAGGGGTGCTATAGAACTGGTCAGAACCGGTAGAATCCCACACCTGACTAGATGGAATACACAGATGCCTCCATATTGCCTTCCCTACTTGTTGCCTTCCTTACTTGTTCCCTCATTGCTGTGGTGCTCCAATGATAAAAGCAAAAGGAACAGTTGTTGCTTCATTCCTTTATTGCACTTTAAATGCTTAGAAACTTCATGACAATGAAGAGCTAATGGTTCAGGTTCATAGAAGCAAAGGAGTAACATTCATTTTGGAGGTTTACACCTTTCTTCCTCCGACACATTGTGAGATGTATGGGTTGGACAGAAGTATCCTGACAGAAAAGTGAGGGCAAAAATATGAGCAGAAGGTTTTACTGGGCTCCGGGGGCTGTGTGGGACACTATTGGATCCATTAGAAGAGAAGGGAAAGGAAATTCCTGATCAGATAAGACTATGGCAATCCAGGATAAAATGATAATACAAGACATGAACCAGTCACTGGAAGGGAAGAGATGCACTAGGCATTGTAGCCAATCTGTGCAGGATTATTGCTAGACTAAAATGAAGCACAGTTGACTATTCATCCAGAAGAACTTAAGATGCCTCAGGATGGAAAATAATAGCTGAAACAATACCTTCGAAGCAGAACAGAGCTTGGAAACATGGGTTGGGGGTGCATTCATAGTGGATGAGGAAAAGGTGGGAGATGGCCACATCTGTTCCTGCACTCAAGAAATGGTGGGTAGCCAATACAAGTAATGAAGTAAGCAGAAAATGCAGGGGTGTCTGCATTAACTATCAGGATGTCAAGGGAAGGTAACTATGACCTTTACATGTTTTTGAGTTATAATTTTCACTATCCTTCAC